TGCAAGATGTCAAGGAGAGGATCTGAGGAGAGCTCTGGGGAGGAATGAGTCTAGATCACAGGGGACGTACAGGTGGAGAAGCCATCAAGGCCAGTTGGCTTCTGATTTCAGTTAGGATTTAGTACTCTGTCCTTACTGTCAGCAGTAGTGTACAGAAAGCTACTGGGATATTTTGTCTGCTTATTGCCACCTTCTGTCTCAGGTCTCACTCCTCCTCACTGCTGTCTGTCCTCGGCCTTGGTGCCCAGCTTTAAACAGTATAATAAGGAGGAATGCCTAAATGCCCATCGTTGCAGCTGTCCTAGATGTACTGCTGACTTCCATATCAACCTTCTGTGGGGTCTTGAACAGTCTTTTTGAATGTCTGTTTCTCACATTTAAAATGGAGTGTAGCCCTGTTGAAGTGGCTATGTGTAGAAAGGAAACTAAAAATAAAAAAGCCAGCCAACCTTTAAGTTCTTTTTATAGGTGTGACAAAATAGGGAATGATAAGTATATCCTCTATATAGTCCTCAAAATAAGCCCGTGGTAAGAGGGGTCTGCACCCTCCTTGTGGCTGTTCACCTCTGGTGTCATTCTGTGGTCCACACTGCATGAGATGTAATGATGGTGTCTAGATGAGTTGACTGCAAGCTAGGAAGGATCTGGGACTGACGTCACTGTCCGGGCCCCTTAGATGCAAACATTTTCTCTGGCTGTTGGCAAAAGATGAAGCCAGACAGCTTTGAATCTTGGAAGGACTTAGTGCAGTTGGAAGATGGAGGAAGTGATGGGAAGAAGCACAGGCAGTCTGAATTTGCATAGGTTATAGGAGAACTATAAAATAAACTATGTTCTTGGTCAGCTTTTTATGGTGAAAAGTTCTTGACTGAAAAAGATGGAGGGGCAGTGGCAATGGTGTTAGGATGATCCTTTTCTTTCTCCCTGTGCTAGTTTGAATGCATTTGGCCCTCCTTAAGTCATAGGGAATGGCACTATTAGGAGGTATGGCTTTGTTGGAGTGGGTACGGCCTTGTTGGAGAAAATGTGTCATGGTGTGGGTGGGCTTTGGGGTTTCCTATGCTCAGGATACTGCCCAGTGAGTCATTTGACTTCCTGTTGCCTTTGGGTCAAGACATAGGACTTCCAGTTCCAGCACCATGTCTGCCTGCATGCTGCCATGCTCCCCACCTTAATGATAATGAACTGAACCTCTGAAACTGTGAGTGCCTCAATTAAATGTTTTCATTCCTAAGAGTTGCCATAGTCACGATGTCTGCTCAGAGCAATAAAACCCTAACTAAGACAGAAGTCGGCACCAGGGACTGGGGTGTTGCTGGGAAAGGCCTGACCATGCTTTTGGTTGGAGGAATATGGACTTTAGTACTTTGGGTAGCAGTGGGATGCTTTAAAAAGTGCTGCTTAATGGGCCAGACTAATAGGAGCATGGAAGACAGAGGTGCTAAGAGATATCTGAGCTGTGGGCACTCACCCAAGAGGTTTCAGAGGAGGAGAATTTCAGTGTGTTGCCTGGAGGTCATTCTTATATGTTGGTAAAGAAAGTGGCTGCCTTTTGCCCATGTCTGAAGAGTCTGCCTGAGGCTAAAGGGAAGAGGTTTCAGAGGAAATCTCAAAACAGCCTGTTGTAGACTCTGTCCTGGGATATCAGTGGTAACTCTATTAGAGTTATAATGAAAAGATTTATAATGAAAAGGAGCAAGCTAAGCAATGTAAATTACAGGAAAATAAGTTTTGAGGAGAAAAAGAACACTAGGAAGTAGAATGGAGGGAAATACTGTGTTCAACAAGATAAAGGGATTAAGAAATGGAATAAAGGGAGGGGTGATCTCAGGGCAAGATCCCATCCAGCTAAAGTTACAATGTGAGAAAAGGAACTAAAGGAATATTTAGAGCCTGCTGTGGTGACACACACCTTTAATCCCAGCACTGGGAAGGCAGAGCCTGGTGCATCTCTGAGTTCGAGGCCAGCCTAGTCTACAGAGCAAGTTTTCAGGACAGCCAAACTTAGGCAATGAGAGTGACAATCAAAAACAGAGAGCTGGCGAAGTGAACATGGGGACCATGTTTCAGCACTAGTGAGCAGCAGGATCTGGCAGCTTCTGCTGTGTGGTTCTGGATTTAGAGTTAAGGATAGAAAAAAGGAGTTATGTAACAGTACTTGAGGCCAGGCGTGTGTCAGGGGTGTCTTTGCATGGAGGCCTAGGGAGAGAGGCCAGTTTGTGAAGCTGGGAAGTTGCAGCCTGGGTTGCCTTGGAGAACCCAAGGTGTTAGAGATGCCAGAGTCGTGGGATACCTGCCGAGGAGAGCCACTAACTGGGAGTGGAGCAAGCTCAAGAGAAAGAAGCATGTTGCAGCCAACAAAGCTGAACAGAGTTGCAGATCTGAAGAGCGTTTTGACATCAGACATGGGCATGCAGAGTTTGGAGTTTGCCCAGCTGCTTTTCAATTGTCCTTTTGTTCAGTATTCCCTTGTTATGCTTCCTTCCCTATATCCTGTGCCATTATATATTAAAAGTATGTGATCTGCTTTTTGATTTTTACAGGGGGCTTGCAGTTAAGAGATTGCCACTTGTCTCAGAAGAGACTTCGGACTTTGAAACCAGTTTGAGACTGTGATAGACTATGGGGACTTTTGAAGTCGGACTGAATGCATTTCTTGCATTATGATATGACTATAAGCATTTGGGGGCCAGGGAGTGGAATGTGTTGGTTTGAAAGAAAATGGCCTACAAAGGAAGTGGCACTATTAGGAGGTGTGACCTTGTTGGAGGAAGTGCATTGCTGTGGGTGTGGGCTTTGAGGTCTCCTTTGCTCAAGCTTCCCTCAGTGTGACACTCAGTCGACTTCCTGCTCCCTGCAAGATGTAGCACCTCAGCTACCAGCACCACTCTGCCCACATGCTGCTGTGCTCAAGATGACAATGAATCGAACCACTGAAACTGTAAGTGAGCCATCCCAATTACATTTTTTTAAAAATAAGAGTTGCCATGGTCATGGTGTCTCTTCACAGCATTGAAAACCCTAACTAAGACGCTCCCTGAAATCATGTTTGTTGGGCCAGTGATTACAGGAAATCTAGCCTTGCATCAGCACCACCCACCAACCACTCATTTCTAGCCACCCCCCCCCACCCTGTGAGCATCTTCAGCCCTTACAGTGGCACACACAGTAAGCAACGGTGTGTCCTGAGTTGGACTTGAGTAGCGAAGACTTTCTGCTCTCTATGTATACAAAATCGGGGCAGGGAGCAGGCGGTGAGAGGATAACGCTTTTTCTGGGGTTCCTGTGTCATTTCTAAGCCTCTGACTTTGGCGACACCACCTGCGGCGGGTCTGGGAGTACCTAATAAGGAATCAGATCGTGAGGTTGCCTCAGACTTCACCGCAGCTCAGGACTTCTCATTTTCAACACGCTCCACTAAGTGGAGTACAGTTGTGAGCAGTACTGTCAAGTGTCATGCTGGCCCTGGGACCCCATCTTCCAGAGAAACTCTCCAGGCGTGGTTCTTGGAAGAACCTTGCCATACCTGTGTGTAGCAGTGTCCAGGTCACAGCCACGCCCAACCCAGGGCCTTGCCGGTTGGAAGCCAGCTGAGATCACCCAAAGTCACCCGCTCCTCTTTGGGGCTTAGCTGTGCAAGTCCCACCCAGCGTCAGGGACTCATATGTGACAGGAGTGGGGTTCTTCATTCCAGTGTTGGAGCCTTCTCCTTCCCCACAGGAAGGATGGGGCTGGCGCTGGCCGGTGGGGAGCCCTTGTGGGCAGCTTGCGTTTTTTGTCCTGGTAACTCTGCAAGTGTCATCGGACCTGGACCCCCTCCTCTCCTACCTGCGTTGTCATAAATCAGGCAGAAACTAGGGAAGTGGGTCGCCCGGGGCGACTCCGGTGAGCAGCCCCTCCCACCTTTGCTGCACGCTGTCATCGGAGCTCTGGGCATCGTCTGCATCACTGCCCAGGGGCGGGCCGGCCTGTCGCTGCGTCGCCACGCTATGCCCGCCGCCCTTGCCCGGGCACCGCCGCGGGTCGTGCGCCGTTGGCCCTCCCGCCTCCCCCTCGGCGGGGCCCTTCCGTTTACTACCGCGCTTGTGACATTCAGCAGGACCGGCTAGCACAGCAGGGCTCCCGCGGCTCCGAGGCTGGGACGCCCGCGGCTGTCTGCTTCTTTCACCCGGGCACCTCCGGAGCGGTAACGGCGAGCTCCCCGCAGGCCCGGAGACCCCCGACGGGACAGCCTTGGCGGGCGGATCCCCGCCCCCGCCCGGGTCCAGGATCTTCTGTCCGCCCTGCTCACCCCAGCTCAGGGGCAGGGCGAAGACGAAGGCGGCGAGCGCCAGGGGGACCCGGCCTCCCTGCTCGTATATGGCAAAGTTTCTCGCGGCGCTCCTGGGCTGCACACTGCCGAGCAAGGGCGCCTCTCCCAGGCTGGAGGTAGGTGGAGGGTGTGTCCTGCAGGGGTTGCGGCCGGTGGTGGTGAGCACCCGTGACCCACCGCTAGGGTCCTCACCACTTGGCAAGTGTGTCTCACCTGAAGGACTTCTGGGGCAGGGCTGAGGAGGGTCGTGATGGGGGAGATGGAAGCCTTTGAGTCTGAATTTCTTGCCTCCCCAGCCCTCACTGCATGTTTGTTTTTCTCTTCCCTAGTTGACAGGTGAACACGTTTGTGAATCGCGTGTTTTGCGAGTTGCCTCTTGCCTAACACGCCAGGCACATTTGAAAACGAGCTGTCTCTTGCACATCCTTCCGCTGCCTACCCTGGCTTTTCTAAAATTTTAACGGGAAGCAATCTTTCATTTCAAGAGGTTTCTACCTTCTTGCCTGCTCTAACCACTCCCTTCCCCCAACCTCCAGCGAGGCGTAAACTCCTTGTAAGTTAACTCATTTCTTCTGGTGTGTGGTACACTGGGCGTGGGGAGGGAGATTAAATGGGATTAGCCACATTGCGTCTTCTGAAGGCAGCTACGCCTAATTGCCCACACCTGCTGGTGGTGCGGTGACCCTGCTGCAAGCATCCTTGCTAGGAGTTGGCTGGCTGGTTTGCTCATCCTCCTGGGGGAAATGGTAGCATCAGCGTTTTATATGAGACCCATCTGGGCCACTCAGTAGGGACAGTTCCGTGCTGCGTGACCCTTCACACTCTGTAGTTAGAAACAGGGTGCCTTTTGTCTCTCTTGCTCCTACCCTCTCCTACAGACTGCCCGACAAGCAGGCCAGGTCTACTAGGCTTGCCACCTGTACCAGTCTCAAAGCCTCCTGGAAGCCCCAGGTGCCTTGGCACTCACAGTCAGCTATTTCCAGACTGATGGAGAAATAGACTTGAGTTTCTTCTCTCAGGCACGCAGTGTGTCCTTCAGCCAGGAACTCCTTCCCATTCCAGAGTCTTTGCAGTTGCTTGTTGGCCCCCCTTCACCTTTGCAATTCTAAGTTTTCTTCCGAGATCATGTGGAAACATTCCCTGTGACTTTAGAGCTCAAATTGTCCAATCCAGTCTTCTCTCAGTGACAGGGAGAGCCTGAGGGTGAGCGGATAGAGGAACTTAGAAAAGGCAGGTGGGGAAATGCCCGCACAGGTGAGAACTGAGACCCAAGGGTGAAGAGTCCAGCCTTAGCCATCCTCCCTACCCCCAGCCTCAGCATCTTCTCCATGGTCTGTTAGGCAGCCAGATGGCTAGGAGGCCATTCTGGAGATCTGCAGTGTACCTTTAAATTGCCGGTCTCTTCATTTCCTCTTTCCTTAGGCTGGAATTTTTGGTATAAAATTCCCAAAGCCTTCCCCAAGCAGGTGCTTCACCGTGACGTTTCGGAACGGGTTCTTAGTTGTTCTAGAGAGGAGCTGACCCCCAGAACCAGTCACCTGCACATTTAGATGACTGCCATTTTCAAACCAAAGTGGCTGTTTTGTCTTTGAAAAGTCCCAGGGGAAGAGGTGTCCCTCAGTCCTTGGTAACTTCCTATAACTTGCTCTGTGGTGTTTCCCACTCATCCAGAGGTAGGAACTACTTTCAGCATCGCCTCTCACCATCAACTGGTTGAGTTACTGTTGGCCCAATCAACCTAAAATGTGTATCAGGTGTTACATTTCATCAATGCCTCTGGAGAGAGTTCCTACCTTTGGGAGTGTCTGAGCCTAAGGAGGAGATGAAGATATAGGCATGTACTCTGTGGATACCTTTCAGATGAACCATGCTGTTCCTAAATGCAAGGGTGTGGTCCAGCTTACTACATTTGGGATGGAGAGAAATGTGGAAGAGAATTAATCCTCTCTAAATATTCATTTCTTGAAAGTACTAAGTTCCTGAAAGAGTGAGGGCGACATTTAATCCCCCAAACGCCAAATATGCTAACACTGAAGCTTCCCTTTAGTTTCAGGGAGATTAGGAAAAAAGGTGGATACTGTCATAATGAATAACCAACCTTTGATTTCATTTTGGTGAGAATGTGGCCAAAGTAGGTTTGCAAGAGAGGTCTTCTGCCTAAGTATGAAGTCCAGGATCTCTTACACATTTGCGGTTTGATCAAGGAGAGCTGACAGGTTGTGGCTAATAAGAAACAAACAGAAAAAAGTGGGGCAAAATGTCACTGTGATTGTAAACAGCTCCAGTGTCTGCCTGTGGCCCCCCCCCCCCCCCCAGAGGCTAAGAACAGAAGATGCCTGCACATTGCAGCCAGAGTGTCTTACTGTTCATTTTGTTACCTTTTGTGGGCTTAGTAAAATTTGGATATTTGTAAAGCAAAACAAACCAAACCAAATTTTTGGAAACAATTAATTTCTAGGAGAAAAGTGAAGGACTTCGGGGACATGATAGTGGCTTGTGCATTGGGCTGTTTAGGAGTTTTTGTGCCACACTCAAGGCAAATCCTTTGCAGAAACAGCTGGGATTCTCTGTATTCTAACATCTAGACAGGGAGGCCGGAAGCACACATACAGGTGTTTCCTCTCCCAAGAGGGGAGGAGGGAGTGTCCTTGCCTGGCATTCTTTCTGTCCCCTTTGATTTATGACATATTGTGACCATGCTCCCTACGTGAAGTCAAGTCTTGCTTTCATTCTGTCTTAGTGATGGAGTCCACGTTCTAAGCCATGGTGGGAGAATAATTCATTCAGAGGCTATAGCTTTTCTATCGTTCACATTGCTCTCTCCCCTCTGCACAGCATAGCTGCATTCTAAGCTCCTGTCATCCTTACTGACCCAGTGGATGATCTTTAAGGAGTCACCTATGTTGGGAGAACACATCTAGCTCTATAAACAGGAATGTTCAGTTCTTTCATGGGTGTGGTCTCTAGAATTGCCATCCTTAGGTAGCATCTATATATTTCAGATCTCCATCTCTATCAGAATCGCTGCCTATGTGCGAGCAAGTACAGCTTGATTTTCACCAATGTATAATACATAGTGGCTATTTGTTACCATCATATTATTCTAAGGACATATTATACATGATCTCAGCTGTACTAATAGTCCCATGACATAGATGTTATCAATCACATTTTACAGATGAGAAAATGGAGAGCATTAGAGGGTATCAATAATTTACTAAGGTCCCTGTCATAGTGGGGACTGAAGTGTGGTTAATAACTCAAGGTTTCGTTATGTCAAAGTTCACTTCATTTCATCCATCTATGACTCCTTGGTTGTTGGCGTTGGTTAATGCCACGGTTCCTATCAGCTGTCAACTTGACAGGCTCTAGAACCATCTAGGGCAGCTCTACACATGTGAGGGCCAGGAGGGGCTTTCTACATTGTGTTAATGGAGGCAGAAGGGCCCATCTTAAATGTGGGCAGCACCAGTCCACAGGCTGGGGCCCCAGCGTGGGTGAGAAGACAAGCTAAGCAGCAACACCGCTCTCTGCTTCCTGACTGGGTGCAATGTGACCAACTGCCTTGTTCTCCTGCTGCTGGGACTCCCCCAGCATGATGGGCTGTACCCTCAAATCATGAGACACAAAAGGCCCTCCCCAAAGTCGCTTTTGTTGAGTATTTAGTCACCGCCGTGGGAAGAGGAACTCACAGTCTGTTTTGGCTTCCGTCATCTCCCTTCATTCCCAGAAAGTTTTTAATGGAGGGAAGTTAGTCCTGCCTCACTATGTCACCCTCAGTGTGACATGAAAGTCATTTACTCCCAGAGAAGTTCAAAGACTTAGTGGACTTTGAGAAATCATCTTGGGAAAGAGTCAAGCTCAATTGTGGTGGTCCTTTAGAGGGCATTGGTGTTTGTAGAATATTTTCATGTGTGCTGTCTTCTTCATTCTGGGGAAAGTTTTCATTAGCTTATAGTCACTGTTCAGAACAATGACCTTCCTTATTTCCCCAATAATGCTATGAAGTAAGTGGTATGGTTATTGCTGTTTTATGAACAAGAAAGCCAAGGCTCAGAGTGAGTCTATGAATTGTCCAATGCCACCCACCCACGAAAGATCTAGTCTAGAAAATAAACCCTGGACTTTTTGCCACTCTTGACAGACACTTACATTGACCTACATGGTTTCTTGGCCTCTGATATTTTTCTCATCCACTCTGTCTTTTGTGCTATGGACCAAATCATGTTTCTAATAGCCCAACTCAAAATGGTGATCACTTAATTGTGATAAATTCTTTTGTGGTTTACCACTGTATACAGATTCAGTAAAGGTACATGGGTTTTCTCCATATGATAATCACAGTTTGGTGTCCTTGTCCAATCCCCTTCATTCTGCTAGGATGCTCTGTGTGCTCTGGCAGGTTTATTGTTGCTTCCGCTTCCTGCCCATGTCCTGATGCCGTTATACTGTTTGACACCTGAATTCTTCTTCCTTTAATATTCATTATCGAAGCTTTATCTGTCCTTAACATCCCATCCCATCTCATCTCCAGATCTACTCCTTGGACAATATTCAGGTCTATTGAACAGTGTGTGTGTGTGTGTTGTGTACATGTGTGTGCATGCACATGCATGTGTGTGTGTGTGTTTATGACACTGTGGACAATTTTATATAACTACTTCAGTTATATCTTCAAAGGGAATTACAATTGCAGTGCTTAATGCAGGGAACTGAGTGTTAAATGAATTAATTCTCACAAAGTACTTAAAATAGTGCTCAATTCATGCTAATTTATTGATATTGTGCTGTGCCTCTTCAGTATCAGGGATGATGCACTTTCCCCTTCCGTTACACTTAGCATAATGTTTTGCACATACTTTTGCATTGAATAAGTGTCTGTTCAAAGTGATCTTCCATCCCTGTAGGGTCATAATTTTCTTTGCCAGTAAAGTGTTTGTTCAAGTTCATGTGAAATTTAGAGTTGACAGATCATCATGTATTTTTATATAAAAGATCAGGCAGTGGTGTCTTTCTGTCTCCCCATTCTCCCCAGAACCCACACACTTTGGGGAACCCTTGTTCCTTTCCCCATCTTTACAATCGCTACTTTACCAGAGCCCCCCATACAGGGAATTGTAGCTGGTCAGCTCTCTGCCTTCAGGGCCTCAGTATAAAAATGCCAAATACAGTAAACTTCCCATTGCAAGTGTCAAGGCTGTGGCTGAGAGGTACACTACTCGCATCCTATTATTCATTTTCCATGAGTTTATCAACTCATCCAACCAATTGTTTGTTCCATATTATAACATACTCTCTTCGTTCCAAGAACTCCTGGCGGCCCTTTGAAAAGACAACTCAAGCTGTTTTGACTGTAACTCACAGTAAGAAAGCTATTTTGCTTTGCACACAGTTTTTTTTAATAACTACAACCCTGAAATTAAGTTGCAAGAACAATGTTTCTTCCTCATACCTCTGGACTTTGCAATTCTTTGCTTTGTGTCCCCCTTCTTCCATCCCTTTCAAGAGACAAACTGTAAAGACTGATAAATTGATTTTATGGGTTGTAACCCATAATTTGAAAAGAATTTCTATATAGAATAATGAACAATAAGTTTCTATTTTTACAAAACAGTTTGTATTACTCCATTATCCCCACAATATATGCATACATTATTGTACTATCAGTAGGAGGGTCTAATGTTCTATCCTGGGAAGCCAGTCACGGCGAGTAACAGTCTTTTTGAGGAGGAATGCTTCTGGAGCTCCAAGTAACTCACTCACCAAACTACATTCCAAAGGTCCTGCTTTTTAGATTGCCAAGTATTTGGGCTGAAGTTTTCACATATTTCATGACCTGTGTTTTTTATATTTTAAACAATATGACTGAATTTCCATTTATTTCTATCCTATCATATGCTTATAGCTTTCCAGTTTTGTGTTTCTGTCAATCTATCCCTTCTCTAAGAAGGTTCTACTGCCGACTCTCTCAGCTCCTTCCCCCTCTCATTTCTGTTACATTAGTTTATATGTTATACTGGATAGTTGAACTCTTTTTGTCTGGCAAACACCCCTGTACCACCTGCACTACTTGGTCATTCTACTGGGCATCAAGCATCTGAGAAAGAACCATTTGGCCAGGCTGTGTCTAAAGCAATGGCTCAGTCAAGCCTGGTTGTAGGTTCTGCGATGGGCCGATTGGCCGGCGGCGCCTGGAGAAGAATTTACTCTGAGAATAATAGCTCCCAATGCCACAGCTGGGCTTTCCATGAGGAGGATCACTTGCATTTTAAGCTAATGGATACTGGGTTTGTCCCATAAATTCACAATTTTTATCTGAGGGCCAGTTGAATTGCGACCACATCTGAGCCATTGTGTATGCAGGGACCACTCTGCTTACCTTTGTGTCAGCTGCTTTCAAACGCTGCGCGCAGTCCTAAATGCGCACGTTTTATTTATGGGAATGTTCAGTCCCATTATGATTACATCTGTCTAATGGCTTCTTGCTGAGAAACTGTTGGATGATTTTTTTTCTTCTTTGTATTTTGATAAGGAAAAGCTGGTGTTTCATAGCTGCCAAATGGCCGGTGCTGGCGGCAAGTCCCAGGGAGCAGGGACTGGGAGCTTAGCTCTTAATGCATCCTTTTGTTCAGCTCTCTCAGTTTGGGAGGTTTTCTGTACATTGAAAACTTCTTTACTTTACTCGTCTTTGATCAAATGTAACAGGTCAGTGGCGAGTGACATTCGTGTTAGGAATGCCACTTCTACCTACATATATGCCTTTAGAGGTAGCTTATCAACAAAACAGCAACTTGAATTTACTTTTGAATTTGTGATAGACAAGGACTGTGCTTCTCCCCTTTGGTGCATTTTAAGTGTAAGCGGGACCTCTTTCTCTAGATGCCTGTCATCAGTCACGGTTTCTTACAAACCTATACTTTGAAATAAAATAGAGGGTGCATCGCCCCGTGCGCCCACCTGAGAGTCAGTTCTGCTGTCCAAGCCCATGCCGTCCCACCCCGCCTACTCTCTTTCTCCTAGAGTGTACTGGGCCGTCCCATTTGTTTCTCTTCTTTCCCTGTCTACTATGGACAACCCGTCAGGGGTGCCTGTTCAATCTTCCTTGGGTTTATATCTTTAAGATTCATAGTTGATTGAATGAAAATGAGTTCATTCATTTACTGATATGACAACCATCATTTGAGGGCCTGCTGTAATCAAGGAGCAGTGGCTCTGTGGGCCAT